CTAAGTACGTGTGGGTTTCTATAGAAAGGGATATTCGCTTGTCAGCCAAAGGAATTTTCCGGTGCAGTTTTCTCGACGAATGCGGAATCGATGTGAATCAACTGGTCAACCACTTCTGTGGTTTCAACTAACTATTTCACTGGCAGACGTATTGTTCTGTATGGGTTTCTTCTAACTTTTCAGTTAAGGAAAATGGCATTCGCAGCCGTGTTGCCCACGGAAGCCGTCGGGTACTCGGAAGTCAGCCTCCTGTGCTACTCACCAGGAACATATCATCCACGTACTCCAGATCAGCAAGATTCCTGCAGCCTGCACTGTGCTATTCATGATAAGATGATGCCACTGCTCTAGCCATAATCAACACTATTTCAAAAAGGAAAGTCAAGAACAACACTGAGTAACAAGGCGAATGCAATCTTCGTCACTCAGATAGCGCTTGTTCGACTACGACGGTAGAAATGATGTCTGCATACATCTGTTTTAAAATGGAGCGATATACTTGGATATTCCAGAATTTTTCAAGATTCTACACATCATCGATGCCTTAAATCCAATGCAGCCTTACTATCGAGGAAACGGGCAAGTCGTTGGCATCGGCAAACAGAAGATTATACCTCACGTTATGATGTGATCGGAAATTAAACCTCATGAAATATGCTCTTGCCCATTCGTCCTGCATTTTATTGTTCATGGGAAAATGTTTTCTGCATGAAATTCAAAAATATTGCCTGAATACGAAATCTGGCATTGTTCACTAAGGAGTAGCCGTGCATAAATCATACCTTCGGGTAACTGAAATATCAATATCCGGTATATCATCATCACACTGTAAGAAATTGAGTAATCTATTTATTCCTTCACTCTGTTCCTCCTCCTCCTTCCTTACTTTTGTAAGTTTCCTCAATCGCCGGTCTGCCGCAACAGCTATTTTATTTCAAGGTCTTGTAAACTTGGCCATGATTTGGTAGCGTTGTTTTGCTCCATATACCGGTAATAACATCGAACCGATTTCTTTTTGGCATTAGTCCTTCCCCCTTCTGCTGTTTTATGGCTTCCTGCCATCCTTGCTAACGCATTTCTTTGATCAAACTAACCGGACCTCATTTTGGTCAAGTTGACTATTCATTTTTATGGATATGGTTCCTTGCTTGATGAAAATGCTTACTCATGCTAACTCTTGCTAACGTCACATGTCCGTTTTAGCATTTCGGTTTAACTGTCTGATCCGCACGTTTCTGTCCTATTGAATGTTCAGAAACTTCGCGACGCGATAGTTTAAAGGCAGTATTATGCAAATCAACTCGATTCTTAAGAAGGCCTTTGAGAAACGAACCGAAATATCGATGGCCATTCAGTATCTTTAAAATACATTTAGTTAAAGAAGCAGTGTTATCAAGTTTTTACAATGCTGCTTTATAAAATTGCGCACACGCAGTCTAATTCGACGAGTTCAAATTTCAGAGTCAAATTCTGAAGAATCAGATGTTCAGCCATTTAGAGGTAGAGAATCAGTTGAAGTACATTTTTATTAGTCAGTGAATCGATCGATGACAGTTGATCATCTCAGATCACGACGGCAGACGCATGTCTCCAACGTCTTCACAGTGTCAACAACGTTTCCGATCCGGCAGCCGCCTTTGAGCCTTGGAAGAAGATAACTCGAGTCTAGAGCAGAGTTTATCGAGTCACTTACCCCGGGTTACACTTGATTGTCTAGGGGTTTTCAGACTGTAGGTTGAGTAAGCAGAGAATGTTTCACTTTCCTTTTTGGAAGCACTGGAAGAACGTGCCCAAACCATCGTTGCCATCCTCTCAATCTGCAAAATCTGTGGTCGTAGTTTAAGGCTCTCTGGAAAACCTAAATTCTGAAACATGTCGAGTCCGGAGAGCCTAAAGATTCCTTTACGAAAGCCCATTTAAACCGCTTGTACAGGAGATCGAGGTTTTTCAGTATTCGTCCACCACTCATGACCGTAGATGAGCATGGGGGTGAAGATCGACTTGGACCCCGAGAGTTTAGTCTTCAGACTTTCGGCCTGGTAACAACGTTTAAGGGCAGTTCACGCAAAACGCGTCAGGCTATTCCAATTTGCCGATTGATCTCCTCCTCCCATTCTTCCTCGCCGATGAATAAGACACTGAGGAAGGTGAATTTCTCTACCTGCTCCGCCTTTTCTCTGATTATCTATAAAGCGCAGCAGAAAGAGAAAGGGGCAAACGTTTGGTTGTAGACCGTCCACCTGCATGCCGACCACGTTGCACCCGGTTTCAAACCTTTCCGGAGAGCCTGGAGAAGATGTCAACGAAACAAGGTTGTTTGCACACAGAAGATCTCTTGTTTCCACATCTCTACGCCCGTTTTGTGCCTGACTCTTCTACCCACGTACAGCACAAGCAAGAGAAGGGACAGAATGCGGCTTTGGCAGAAACCAATGTCAATGTTGAAAGAACTCCATTTAGCACTATTTGCTTTGACGCACACATGCTTTCATCACATGGAGATCGCATGCCTCGTAAGAACAGACCATCACAATGTTTGCAGCCATGCTCACAGCTTGTTGCCCGGGATCTGTTTGTAAACTTTGTCTAGGTCGACCGACTAAGCACATGTCGGCCGAATGAGTGACTTCTGACGATTCCTCAATAATCTTGCGCAAGGAAAATTTGGACAGAGGTGCGTCGGTCCCATTGAAGCCAATACAGTTCTTACTGGATAAGAGAGCCAGTTATTGTTCGTTACATCCTTCCTATCACCTGTACATAGACCTTAGCTGAGACCGGGACCGTCAATATAATAATAACGTAATAAGAAGAATATATTTTATTGTCTCCCTTCTTGAATAAGTGACACTACAACCAAAGTCTTTAATTGCATCAGCCTCTTCGCGGCCAGCGCATTTTCAAAGACATCTGTTCCCCCACAATATGTCTTGTTTGTCTGAAGCTTTAAGTAAGTAAGAGCGAATTTGGTCGATCGATTCCATCGGTTTGACAACTGTCCAAGCGTTTTACAGGTCTTGAGATTTCGTCCACTGAAAGACTCACATGCGTTGCCGGCAGGAGAGTTATTCTGCGGTTGTTCAGCGCTAAGGAATTTTTCAAAATGCGGTCGCCGTTGCGCAAATAAATCTTACCCTTGGAAAGCAGGAGTCCGATCTTGAACTTCATGATTGTTATACCATTCTTTTTTCCAACACAGAGGTGGCGATGGTCTGTCAGAATACCTTGTTTGCCGTCCAGAAATTCGACTCTAGCAAATTTTTTATAAGATTGTTTGTAACTTTCTAAGCCAAACACGATCAATTAGTGTAATCATGTTAGAAAATGAATTTTGAAAACGTTGACCATTAAAATGAGACTTAATTACCATGTTCAAGTCAATTTCGTTCTTTGGGAATGAGAAACGAGTTGTTCTTAGGTATTTGACAACTTACGCGTGGTACGATAAAGAAAATGGAATTACGACGCGCCCGATACCGGCTTTTGGCGAAATAGTGTAGATCAAGGCAACCGAAGAACAGCGATAGCATCTAAGTGCCTATCAAGAGGTAAATAAGTCATCGTTTGAACATCTGAGTCATGATTAAATGAGAATTGATGTTGAAACATAAATTCCTCCCGGGATAATGAAGTAAATTGGCTCAAACCTGAACTGTCATGCTTACTCAGCCAAAGCTCGAATTATTATAGGAATTACACAGCTAATTTAATTTGCTGTCCCTAGGTTGAGTCTATTAACAAGGTAAACGCTGCCAATCATTCTCTCGCTGAAGCTTTTATATGTACCTTCCTCAATTTGTACAAGGAAGAACACAGATCGACTTCGCTGCAAGTGGCAAACTTAGGTATTGCACAAAGCACGAGTTTGCCAGTGTCGCTAATCCATAGACGTGACATCTCGAAGAACATAAGCCTCGCATTCGGTTAATTGACTAACGATCATCGTGACCATTAGGCTAGGTCAACATGCAATGCATCTGCGGACAACAACCATTATATGAGATATGAGGAAAGACTCAGTGTTTTGATAATAGCTGAAGCGGTAGCAACTGCTGCCTTGGAAAATGTCATTCAGAATGAGCAGATTCATTTCGTCTGATAAAGTGCACGTATTAAGATACCAAATGAGTATTTAGAATGCTTAATGGCCAGCAGACTGTTGGGAGCAGGATGGTGGTGCCACGGCACCACGTACACTAAAAACGATGCAGCTGATTGTAGCATTTAAGCCGGAAAT